TTTCAATAAATCCTGATCTATTTCTTAACCAACTATCGATCCAAGTTATATAAGACTTGGGAACCCCTAGCCTTCCCAACTTTCCTAAGCAGCCTTCCCAGTATTGTTTTACCCGATACTATAACATTCAAATGTCATTTTATCTTCAATTAGTTCTAGTTAGTGAAGCAGATGAAACTAGAATTAATTCCTGATTAAATTTATTTTTATGATGTACGGAAAATGAGACTGATTGAATAACAAACAGTTCTTTATTGTGACGTTTTCTATCATGACATAAGTTGTGACAGTGAAATTGCATTTACTATCTACATACATATCTTCCATAAATATTTATTGAATAATCGAATGAATAGTCAAAGAATAATTTGAATGTTAGTTTAGAAATCAGTGAAAAACTAGAATTTAAAGTTAACAAATAGAAATGAATCTCTTTTAATGATTAAGGTGAAGAAAAGAGATTTTTCTTTTTCATCTATATGCATGTCATATATGAATTATTGACATTATTTGATTAAAGTTATTTTATATAACTAAAATGAAATTCAAAACAAACAATCATTGACAAGATTGATGAAACAGTTTAACCTTTTCATTTTTTAGTTTAGCATCGTTTATCTTATGTAATAAAACTAATATTAAAAGATTGTGAATATTTGAGATTTCATCTGAATAGAACGTTTCTTATTAGAATTATGAAGCGAAGAAGGTGTTGTAATTGTTTGATGATTTCAATTCTTTATAGTTATATGTATATATTAGACATTGATTAGTCATCATCATCCGAATTTACTTTTACAAAATCAAATGTATAACAACAAAAAACATATTCGAGTATGTCATGTTGTAAGGAGTACTAAGTAATTCGTATTCTCTTTTATTCATCATGTGTCATCCTATAATAAGTTTATAGTATTAGTATGGTTATGCACAGACAGATATCTGAACTAATCTATATCAAACTATAAAAACGATTCTAAATCACATAACAAATTCTCTTGTGCTTTTGTACTAGACAAATTCGTTCTTATCATTGTCTTTACTTCAGCATTTTATTATTATCAGTAACACTTTTCGTCTATCTTACAAAACCTCAGTAATATCTAAACAGCAACAAAATTCAAACTCTTTCTTCACTTATTATTTTCAACCAACTATAATAAAAGACTTTTCCAATAGTAATACGTTAAATATACAAGTGTGTAACAATACTATCTCCTTAAAATAGTCATTTTCTTTCAAGTAATTATATCTAAACAGAGAACTACACCAAATAATCAACTAGAGAATGAATAATATTACATAATATTTTATTAAAAAGTGTTGCTCTGGCAGACTAGTGTGTTACCACCAGTCCGCACAATTTCGTCATCGCCACATGTATTTGATCAGCTGGTTTGTTTTTTTTTTTTTTTATGTTGTTCAACGCTTTTTTTTAATTTTACACTGCTTAAGTTGATATTCAAGAAAAAAACAGTGACATAAAATAGTTTTATTTTCATTCTTTTGTATGCTCTAATTCAAGCGAACGTCGTGCCATAGTTAAAACACCATCATATGTAGCATTTCCACCAATAAAACCAGATGCATGTACAAATATACATCCTGGTATACCGGATTTTGTACTTAATTCATCATCACGTAAACCTTGCCATTGTTTAGGTAATGATAAACGATTCTCAAAGGATTTATTATTTAATGGAACAGCTTGTATAAGCCATGTTTTATTTGAATCAGGATATAGAACATATTTTATTTTATCACCAAGTTTTTCTTTTTCTTCTTGTTCAATATCAAATAAATGTTCACGCCATGGTAATGGTTGATCTAACACAAGAATTGAACCGGATGAATCAATATCAAAACGTTTAGCAATAGCTTGTTCTAGTAATGATCTTGCTGGCCACCATCGATGAATATAATCATGAAATCTATCAAGAAATTCATTACCAATTAATTCCATGGCTTGTTTAAATCCAGTCTCTTCTTTTTCTGTAGGATTTGGATCATTCCAAGCTGGATTGAAATATCCAGCGCGTGCACTAAGATTTGTACTAATTCTATATTTCATATTTTCACCAATATCAACTCCATTATCAATAGCATCAATTTCTTGTACAAAATTTTCATATAATTTATCAAATAAAATTTTTGATAAATGATCTCTAACACTGTCATCCATTGTTTCTTTTTTTAATAATTCTTTTAATATTTCTTGACCGAAATGTACATAAATTAAACCAGCACTGGATAATTTGATTGTCCATGGTTTTTCTGGTCGTAAAGAATGAAAGGTATCGGTAAATGTTTTTTGATGATGATCGAATCGTTTTTGTTCAGCATTGAATATACCACCAACATCAACAACGGTATCGCATTCGGCTAATATCTTTGGATCACGAGTTCTGATAATTTCTGCATCAGCATAACGAGGTAGATTTTTTAATAGAAAACAGGCAAATATTTCATCGCAATGAAAATGACCATTATGTGTACCAATCTTGATTGTATTAGTATTTGACATTATTCGTTAAAATCCGTGCAAACGTCTGATTATTGATATCATCAAAAGTAAGAAATAAATTCTCTTGGTAAGTTGTAATAAGCAACTTTTCTCAATAGTATGTGGAGCACGACATCTGCTGGATCTTTACACATTTCGTTTTCCTTTCAATATGCTCGATGTGATATATAGAAAGACAAGTTTGATGTCGTGCTCCACATACTATCGAGGAAAATTGCTTATTACAACTTACCAAGAGGTAAATGATCTTTACTGATCAAATACATGTTGCGATGACGAAATTGTGCGGACTGGTGGTAACACACTAGTCTGCCAGAGCAACACTTTTAAATAAACTTAAAGTAATTCTGATTTATATCTCTATACCACATTTTTCTCCATGTACAATATTAGAAATTCTATATAACTGTGAATTTAATAAATCTTTAAATATTTGTTTTTGATCTATTCATTATTCGTGATTATATACAAAAATCAATGATTACGCAAAATCTATGGAGAATTTTTGAAAAACGTTTCATTGATGAATAATCACAGTTTTCCTATGGAGTTATGATTACAAACTCAGCAAAAATGTATTTTTTTTACAACTTTAATAAACATCTGAATAAAATATAGAATAGAAATTTGACTATTATGGATAAATACAGTAAAGATTGAATTGTTAGATCTGAATGAATTTGTCAACAATGAAAATAAATAGAAAAATGTTTTTCTGTCAATGATTTTACATTGATCTTTTATATATCTAAGTAATTCTACTATATAAATTGAATCGAAATTTTTGAGCTAATGTTCATATATTGTATTACATTTTATAATAGTGAGATTATTATCAATAATAGATAATAAAATTTATCACACAATATGTTCTATGAATATTGAGTAAATTGTTGAATTGTTTTGAATTTAAATAAAGTATTTGACATGTTTCATTACAAATAATAAACATATTTCTTTTTAGATCCTTCGTTGTTTGTTCTATTAACGATAAATGAATTATCTTATTTATATTTTTTATATAAAATAACAAATATAGTTAAACATGTTAAATGATCTTTGAACATACTAATTGATTAATTTCACATAAAATATGTACTTAATTTTACTTTTCAAATATTTATTAACAATTACATTTAATCTTTTTCCATAAAATTTACATAATCAATTTTTTCTTTCATGTAATTCATCATGAATTTTCGTAGATTTTTAATACAATATCTGAAATAATATCAATCGATCTATTTTAGACGAAATCTATTCGCTCAATGGATATTTTCAAAATAGTGAACATTACTTTGTTTTGTCAGAAGATGAATTCTTGGGATAAAAGAATAATTAAATTTAATTGAGAAAAAGAATTTCAAGTACATATGATTATTTATACAATCGAGTTTACTCAAAGAAAGTCGATTGAACAATTTTATAGAAGAAAAATCTGAATATTTAAGAAAAGATAATGAATTTGATTTTTATTCATTATTTTGTTCCTGTCCGAATATCTAATAAATAGCATCTTTAGAGTTTTTTATTTTCAGTTTATAACAACATAAGATATATTTCATAAAGTAATATAAATCATTGGATATTGATGAACATCATGTGATCTTATCAAAGTTTTAACTATATTTGATAAAATTGGCTTAAGTGTAAGTAGTTTTTATAGATGAATCAACATATCAAAGATTTTGCAAATATTGATAAGAAATTATTCGAAAATAAGATGTTGAAATATAAATAAACTACGAAAAAAGCATAATATTAATGGTTGATATTAATTGTCATGATCTATTCTAATACACATTCTTTTTATCCGATTATTATTTTCTTTTATTTCTCTGTTATATATTAAATATATATTTTGTTGTTGTTGTTGTCTATTTGATCAATACATAAGGTGTATTGTATAAAAGAAAGAATAGAAAACGACGACAAAAATCATGATTAAGACAAAAAAATGCACTCGATAATATGAAAACGAAAGGCATTCAGTTTATCTGTTTGAAAATGAATGATTTTTTTTCAAGTGTAAACATGAAAAAAAGAAGACAAACAATTATTCCTAATTCAGATTTAGTAGAGTGCAAAAATAATTGTCGATAGACTTTTTTATGTTGTTATATCACTCAGACACTATACTGTATAACTACATTAATCATTAAAAATTTCGCCCTTGCTGTGAACTTATACAAAATAATAACCTTACAGATTATGCATGCTTTTTAGTATACCTTCCGTCTTATATGGCTAGGCCCCTCGATCTTGGAAATTTTATTATAGCTATTGCAAGTAAGGATCATTGCTATAGAGTCGTTTTAAACTTCTTTCCAGCGGTCATTACTTCAATAATGTAATGTGAATAGTCCTGTCATCTATCGAACTCTAGTATTTTCTTATCCAAGAAGACTTGTTGTGATTGGTTAGTTTTCTACTGATAGGAATATATGAATATTGTACGATTAGAGAAAAACATAAAATGTATTTCGATAAACTTGCTGTAAAACGAAATTTATCACTTTCATCTTTATTAGAAATACTTTCCGATGTACTCTATCGTTATTCAAAACATGATTCATCAATTGAACAACCTTTACGTTCAATTTTATCCATCGGTAATCAACAAAAGTATAAAACGAAAATAGAATTTCTTTTAAATTATAATTTACAAACTAAATTTTAGTGCACTTTTAAATTTACCATGTATTGATAGTCAACTTGGTTATATGTGCGTAAAAACAATAACAAGCTTTCCGGAAAGTTCACCAGCTATTGACGGTGCTGTTTCATTATTTGATTCAAATAATGGTCGTTTACTTTTGGTTTGATCATAATATTGAAAAGTTCTAGTTTATATCTATAATATTTTAGATAGCTGATGCACAAGAAATAACTGCACGACGTACTGCAACGACTTCTTTTCTTGCAACTAATGTATAAAGTAAACTATTTTATAGATGACTAATTTTATTTCGATAAATTTAGTTATTAGCAATTTCAAAATGGACAGATGATCAAAAGAAAAATGCAACTTTAACTATAGTTGGTTGTAGTACTCAAGGAGAAGCACATCTTGATGTTTTTACTGAATTATTTAAATGGAATAAGGTACGAACAAAAAATATATTGATTTATTTAGAAAAAAATTTTTTTTTTGTATATTTAAGATTTATTTATGGAGTCGAACTACGAAAAATGCGATTAATTTACAATTGGAATATTCAAAAAAATTAAATAATATCGAAATAGTAGAAGATTTAAATGATAATCGTATACAAGAATCAGATGTTATTTGTACATGTACAGCTAGTGAACAAGCTCTTATTAGCTTGAAACAAGTGAAAAAAGGTGTACATATTAATGGTAAATTAATATAGTTTTGTTTTACAGCATTGATAGGCTACTCTATATTTAGCTGTTGGTTCATTTCGTGCAACAATGCGTGAACTTGCTGATGATCTTATGTTATCATCAGATACAAATGTGATTGTTGATAGTCGAGAAAGTGCAATGAAAGAAGCAGGTGAAATAATTCAATCACAGGCTAAAATTATAGCTGAACTTGGAGAATTAATTAATAATGAAAAATTTTGTCAGGAAATATCGAATGAAAAAATAACAATTTTTAAATCTGTTGGCATCGCTATTGAAGATCTTGCAGCAGCTATCGTTCTCCAAGAATCATTAAAGAAAAATAAAAAAAATGATTAATTTTTGAGTTTTCTCTTTTTTTCGATTGATTAAAACTGTGATTTTCGTTTATCTTCCAAATATATATGATAATAAAGTAATTTATGATTTTTTAGATTTTGATTATGTTCAAGAATTCAACATGAATAGAAAAACTTTCAAACAATGGTAAGATATTGCAACAAAACGATTCATATTATACTAGTGTCATGGTCAGGGGTGGCGGTTTATAACTAATAGCTATATCCGTCCCTGATCTGATGGATGTCATCATAGAGAAAAGTTTTACTATCCATGACTTACTAATTATATACCAGTATCAGACTAATGATCAATAGGACAATATTCTCCAGAAAATAATACCTGTTATAATAGTTTAAAATAGAAGGTTATATTGATTTTGAAAGAAAAACAAAATTACGTCGATGATTTGTTGTTTTATGAAATGTCAATAGTAAATTCTTTTACTGCGTAATATTAAATAATGCGTACGTCAAGGATAGTTTTTTTTATCGTTGATAATGACATATATGTATACATATATATTATTGCATACTATATAACCTTACTATAAATGCGTACGTCTATACTATAAATAAATATTTATCCTTCAAATAAAATGATGCGATATTTCCGATTTATTTAACTAATTAAACGTTTCTTACAATTATATAAATTAATATTTTCCGCTTTCAAAAACACGATATTTTAACTTGTTGACTCTTTGATAAATAACATGCGTTTGCCCTTAAGTGATATTTCGATACAAACATGCCTTTCCATCCATCTTTACAAAATCAGACATGTTCTTATACTTAGCAAAAAAATATTGTATCGATTTAGTTATTAAGCGCGTGATGTATGCACTTAAACGAAAACAAAAAGAAAAGTATTGCGAAAGATAAGAGCTTTTTTTTTTCTCATACACATTTTACACACACACACCCCTACGCACATTATTCTGTTTCTCTACGTTAATTCAGAAGTAAACACAATCTATTGCTTTTGTTTGTTTCATCGTGTTAGAGACGTAAAATTAAGTACGCTATTTTTTCTTTACTTCTATGCACAACGAAATAAACTTCAACATCAATCATGATAATAGAAGTAAATAGCATAAAGCACATAGGTCATTCTAATCTTTTTAAATAAATATTAAATGTAATGTGATAACATACAGGTGCCCAAAACAAGAGATATCTACTTTATCTCTTATATATATAGTGTACTATTATCAATGAAGATCTATACTTTTCAGGTATATCGGTATTTTACGCAGTTTGTTTTTGAATTTTCTAGGTCTTAAAAAAAAAACGTTCCAGATGGCTCCAAAATATGTGTAGATATTTTTTTCTTTTCATTTAGTATTTTAATCGTATTTTTTGCGTATCACGCCATTGCATTCACACCCCCCTGATCATATATATTTTATCACGAGGCATATACAACCGCAAAAATCACGCGCTTAGTCTTCGCTGCTATCGGAAGACAAAAACAACATTAGAAAACGAGAGGTGTGTCGCCTGATACGTAGAACATTCTTTCTCTTTTCTCTTTCTTTTCTTTTTTTTCTATTATTGCGCTGCAGCCTGATAAATGACGTCAGGCAAA